TACAGTTCCAACAGAGAGCTTGCTGTTTTCTCTCTCGTTATTTCAAATAGATATTGTTTTTGTCGAATTTACTTACAGTAAATATGAAACAATCGCATTTCAGGCCGTTGTAGCGATCAGCATTAAATACAATCTAAAGTGATCAACCATTTCTGCAACTTGATAATTGTTACTGATTTCAAAAATATAGACATGCATACAGGTGACCGTTCGGGTTTCAACGTTTAATATGAAAGTCATCCAGTAAAGTAATTGTTTTGTCCCAGATGATATGTCTTTTTCCATTTTTCGTTCACCTTGAAGAATATAATTCCGTTGTAAAATCCTACTATAAAAATGTTTTAAGCAGCAGGGTGAATTTTTGGTTTGTTAGGCTGGCTTATGCCATCATATACCAGTCATTAAAGTAGGTAGACTATGTGCTGTATTAAGCACAAACTAACCTTTCTAAGAAAAAAAGTTATGATCGTGTATAACAGATTAAATGAATCGGGTCAGTCAAACAGCCTCATACAATTGAAATTTGAATATTTACCATGTTTGTGTGTAAAATTTTGGAGCTGTTTAGATTTGGGCCCCCACTGAGAAAATTTGCTACCCCCCGCAATTCAAAAAGTTCTGGACACAAAGAACTCTGTGGACGCACATGAGCGTTGCTATGATCAATCCCGCGTAGATGACGATATAAAATTCCACAGCACACTAATGGACTAACTACGAAAGCTCTTACTAATAAATTTACGGGAAAATCTATGATGCGTGAAATATGTCTAATAGTATTGGTGTGGATTTCACAATTTAACAAACCATTATTTTGCACCAATAGGGTACGAGTACCAAACAGTCCGTTAAATATACCCAATCAGCCTCAAGATATCTCCATCAAGTTTTTGGCAGCAAATAACATCAAAGTATTCAAAACAAAACATTGTAAAATATGAAGTGACAGTTTGCCATGAAAATGTTTTCAGTGTATTAGATATTATGAAATTATATAAAACTAACCAAAATTTAAAAAAATGCTTGATGTCTGAGTAAAATACATTTGTTTTCATTCTAGCTAAAGGTTTCTCCATGCTTATTGCAACTTTTGTAATCCATATGCGATTATATTAACTTAACATCACCTACCGTGTTTATAGTTTATCCTACATTTACAAACTTGCACTTCCAAACCCTTACATAAAAAACCCTTTTCACTCAAATTTTGGTTAGATGTTGCGTTTCAACACATTCATACACTTCTTTTCAGTTCCTCAACGACATTTTGACACCACTGGTCCGCAACTGTTCAAGATTTTCAACATTCGTACATACAATTATAGTTGCAGTTTTTTGTTTCGATTTCAGTGTTTTATCAGTCGCACCATCGGTGATGGTACATGGTATACTCAACATAACCACGTATTTGGGGGTTATTGCAGATTTAACGTGTACACGACAGTCTAATATGTATTTCTGCACAAAAAAAAATCTTGGAGAGAGCACTTTTTACACGGAAATTAATTCTTCCAAAATTCCATTTTCCACAAATAGCTGGACGTCAAATAACACAACAAGTGACCACAAAACATAAACTCCAGTGACGTTGGAGAATAAATAGACCACAGCAGATCGATTATCGAACACAGGATGGAATGGATGCGCTGCGTTGTCATATTTCGCCATCTGAGAGGTGAATAGCATAGTCACATCGTGGTTGACTGATTTTGAAGTATATTAACATGTGAATCATACACGTTAGAGCTCAAAAATTTTATTCCTTAAAAAAAATTAAAAAGATATAAAAATTCTGAATACCTAAACCGTGTAGGTAATGTATAAAATATTATTTGTTTTATACTTTGCCTATGTATTCTATACAATACCAACTGCGCAGCCGGTAATGTATGTAAAAGACGAGAGCAAGGAACGGGTTGTATGTATCGGCAGGCAGGCAATAAACGAAATGCGCCCTTGTAAGCAAAGAAAATTACATTATGTTACTTATAACCAGAATAATTTTTAGTTTCACATCAATTTTACTGTAGTAACAGAGGGGTGCATTTCTTGTACCTTTTTCATAAAGCTTATTTTTAAGAAGTACTCTAATTGTCAATTTTGAAGAAAATTGATTTTAAATATAACTTGTTTCATTTGCCCGTCATTTTATAGTTATGCCTGTTAACATTGTTAAATTTAGACCAAGATCTATTCATTTTACACATTGTCGGTGGAACTGCAGGTACTCTATACAATCCCTAGGAATTGTATTCATTACCTAGGTAGAGTATGTAATGGATAATAATATTCATGATATTTCATACATTGCCTCGGCAACCTAGGTATTCTATATATTGCCTATGTTTTGTATATATTACCTGAATTGCACAGATTACCGGTAACATATATATTTCATTTATTATGTTGTTTTATTAAATACTGTTTCAGTTACTGATTTTATTCATTTATTGTTTTTGGTTATTTATTGTTTATGTTTATTATTTATCCACTCATTTTAAGCAATTTATACCTTGTTACTTTTTTTAAAAAGTACATTCGTCCGTCGCTAGAATGTTTTTAAAAAAATCCGGATTTTCAATGTTTTTGTGCAAAAACCACTGACAGAATGTTAGCCTGCGAGGATAGTCTTCTGGTAACAAGGCCTGCACTCGTTGTACATGGTAGGGATAAAGCAAAATTTCCCTTAGGATTCTATAGACTATGGTATGCGATAGTCCTACGCGGCGGCCTAATTCCTGAGTGCTGATAGCTGCATTGATTTCCACGATACTTAAAATTTGTTCCTCCTGCTCTACAGTAACCTACCTTAATTTTTCAACATGTCGGCGAACTGTTGATTCGAGAACATTGTAAATAAACACGACGACGTACGCGAACAAAAACAAAACAACACGCCCGAAGTTCTGCCCGACAAAACGAAAAAGTAATGTATCTATGCAAAACGATAACTAACCACTGTTACCATTTGCGATCGATTGCCGGTACGATAAGAGTGATGAAAGACCGACGCGCTGTTGCCATGTGTGTTTTAAATATTTAGTTTAATGAAATTTATTCACTTACTGACTACAAATTTTGGCTTAATTAGAAAAACTCAATGCCATGTATTTGTTAATTACCCAATTTAAACACGTTTTCGATTAGAGGAATTAGTAAGATTGTAGTGATTGTGGGCGATATAAAGCACTTAAAGTTGTAAACTATAAAGCCATTTAGACAAAAAATCTATTGACTTTTGGACTATAGGTCATATGAACTTTTTGACTTGTTTTGACCCCCCCTATTACCCATTTCAATAATGACTACCATAACGATTATACCCTGTATGTAAATTTATAAAAAGAACAAAATACATGAAAGCTGTCCTGTTTTCTCTATACAAAAGCATCATATTGGAATAAAAAAGTGTTCTTGTTTATAACACAATCGCTTTTTCACGATTTTATTCAATACTTCAATAGACATCACTGATATTCAGAGAGCTTTGACAGCTTCCATTTCAATAAGGTCTTTTCTTATTAATGAAGGTGAAATTGGCCGTTATCTACCAACTTAAAAACTTGAGATATACCAGCCCGCACGCCCTACAACCCCTACCCTCAAGTTTTAGCCCCTACACATTTTACAAATGATCAGGCGCCTCTGAAACTTCTAAAAACGAAGTTTGATCGATTTCCATTTTTTCGTCTTTTGCTCCGTAACTCCGGCGCCACTGGACTGAGTTTTAAAATCTAGTGCTTTTTCGTCCTTCTCATAGTAGTAAACTTTTTTTAGCGGACAAGACAGACAGACGGAAATGAGTGACATGGTTTTTTATGATATACATGTCATATAGCATCCAAAAAACCTTATAATAAAAAGGCAACATCTATGGTTTATATACGTGGATTTTGTAAATCCTACATCATTCTCCTGTATGATGCTCGTCCCATTGCGACATATCATTGTCATAGCTAAATGAACTATTAGCTATCCAGCGCTACTCTCGATATTTAATATTCTATTATATGAAACATGACAAGCCCAACATGAGAAATGTACCTGCATTTTCGTTTATAATTCGTTCTCATTCACAATTCTGTTTGTGGTTAACGTGTTGCCAGAGTACCTTTAAATTGAACTGTAAATCCTTTATACCGCCGATCTGTGTCATCACCAAAGTGATGTCAAACACATTCCCTTTGTGTGTTTTGCTCTCAAAATCTCTCTACAAAAATGTCTGCGATAGATCGATTATTCTTTCCGCATTTTGTACTTTGCGTGTGCGAGACAATTGAAATGGTTATTGGTTGTAATTCACATAATTTGAATTTTCCAAAAGACAATAGAAACTGTGTGAATGACAAATAAACCATTTTTTTGACTTTAATGTAGTATTTGAGTTCCGAAAGATAGAAATTCCTAATAACTTTCACACTTTATTATTAATAGTAATGAAAAATCCCGAAAAAGTGTTGTGTACTTATGTTGCTTTAGCAGAAAATGGGTTTTGGGTTTCATTGCTTATTATTGAAGATTACACTTAAATATTGATTTATGTTCTTATTCTGTATGTAATATTTACAAAGGAGAAACCAGGGCAAAGAGAACATCTGAGAAAGTTTGATTACCCGTTTTACATCTAAACCATGAGTCGACCATAGTGAAAAAATACACAGACCTATTCGTTCAACTTTCTTCAATACATAAGAAGCGACGTGGTTATATAACTAAGTTATTTTTAAATTTTTCATGCTTTATTCCACGTGGAACCATTTAAAATGGAAACCAAAACAAAAGGGTTGAGTGTTCTCTACTGCCAGTATTTTATTGGGTGATCGTATGAGAAATAACGTTTTAGTGAATGTCGGTTTCTCTTCTACTGGGTGCTTTCAAAACATAGGACACACATTGAAGGAATCATTCCTTAGACCATTCTGAGACTATTTTTAAAGAAATATTTTGCTTAGAAGATACAAGGTGAACAAACTATTCCTAAGTAATTATTTCTATTTCAGGTACAATGCAAAATTTTACCTAATCCTTCCCAAAAACATCACTTACTGAATAAGCAATTCTTATGGTTGTTTGTGAGCTTCTAACAAAAACGTTCGGAGATAGATGTGTTGAGGAGCTAGGTTATTCTATATGGGCCATCTGAAGTTATTTGAGGTTATACATATCTTGTTGGTTGAAGCTGGAACTGACCGAACTAACAGCACCACAGAAAGCCTCTTCTGATAGATTGGTCAACATCTAGACACGCAAGGAGCAAACGACCAGTTCTTAATATACAGCGTGATTCAGAAAGACATCTATGGTAGAAGGGACATCCAAGAATAACAAAAAAAGGTTCTGCAAACGTACATCCTCAAATGTCTCATTACCAGTTTAAGGGTATTTTAAATCTCTACGTCATAAAATTTTCAATGTCAATGTTGAAGCTTTCTATATGGATGTTGCTTCAAATATTCAAATGAAGTAGTCTGCGAAAGGTTTTTCAAGAAAGCCAATTCATGTAAATTCGAATACCAAATTCAAAATGCAATAGGTGTTGCACAGAAAATAATTTTCTTTTTTTTTCTAAAGGAGTCGAAATTTCCCAATTTTTACGCCACTGGTGTATTTTTAAGCACAACGTTTCTTATATGTGTTCACCATAATGTGGATACAAAACCCAAGTCCGTACTATAATCCACTTCGGAGATATAATTTTTGTTTCGATTTCGAAATTATAATTTCAACACCATCTACCATCTCGGTATCTTAGGACCCTTTGCTTATATGAACTTGTTGCATGTTTTTAATCTACTCTATGTCCTTGAAATATTGCCAAACTCTTATGAATAATTCTGTATATTGCTAGACCTATGAGAGATAGTAGCTTCGCGAGTTCATTTGGCAGGACCAGACTGCAATAATCAAGTATCTAATAAAAGTTGCATGGACATAACTATGATAGCGAGCAACACACGTTACGTTACCGTTTATTTCCCCACCCCCAAGTGACTATCACTGATTAAATATCCAATTGAAATAAATTAATACGGTATGGTGATAAATTTAACGAGCAAGCGTAATACCGCAATTAATTTATCTATGAATTATATTCTTTGTAATAGCTTCATGTATGCCCGTATAAATTGTGTTTTTGCATGTGTTCTGTTATCGTTTATCTGAAATGTGATGTTTTCTGGATGTATGGCTGCATGTTAACAAAAATAATCATGGATTCCGGCCGGAAAAAGTGTGGTTTTATGTGGCTCGTTAGTGCTTGCTCTTTGCACATGAACGGATGTATCTATCGATCGGTTTATTTTCAATTAGTAAGTGGATTTTTGAGCTAATTTTGTGGACAAGTAAGTGTAATCACTAACATCTTTGTCGTGTTTCAATCACACCGTCAGAAAGACACTTGATTGATACCGTGTAGCTTGTGAATTATAATGAATAATATCAAGATTGTGAGGAGTGGTATTTTGTAAATAGAATACTCTCCATATTCTTGCAATCTAGGTATAAACATTACAGTAAGTTATAAAAATGGCTTCAAGTATGTTGAACTTCCCACATAACTTTACTAGGCACATTAAGTTCGATGTATTATAAAACACTAGAAATTATATGTTTGTGATTTCCATCTGGTTTGTGAAAGCAATGTAGCAATATAGCATTTTTCATTTATAACAGATAAAAATTAGGTACATCTGTGTGAGACTAGCGTTACATTTTACTTGTGATAGTAAACTCTACCTGGTTGGTGATAACTATGGAACAGTACTGTCCTGTACGTATGAACATGACCGGTTAGGAAACCACCAAAGTGCTAATTTTCAGTAATAACGGAGATTAGGTATCATTACGCCCGATTAGCGTTACATTTTGCATAGGTGACACTCGAACAGCAGGGCGCTCTGGATTGTGATGTCTTAAAGGCCATGTTTCAATACTCGTAGGTGACGGTACGACCTTAGTATAATTAATGTTCGCGCATGGTTTCAAGGCTGACAATTCGAGGGCAGATCTTGTTGATGACGATTGATGAATATATTCTGTTTGATTCTAGCCACCTAAGGTGAACCATGAGGTAGCGGCCGCTATAAATAGAAATTATTGCACGCAGGGATGCGCGCTTGGTCTCTGTACAGCAACATGTGAGTTGTTAATTAATTGCAAGTAGCAATACTATCTCCTCTAGGTTCCAAGAAGGAAAATGGGCGCATGCTGACAGGTATTCACATTTAAGCAATGGCAGAACTTTAGGAGTTGCGCTAAAGTCCAGAGTTGGATTTGAGTGGTCACTTGTCATTCACATGGCGAGTGGTTCAGCACTCTGCCATAGCGGAATCTCATTAGCCTATCTATGAACTAATGACCTTCAGCGGTCTCTCAATTGCTTAGCTGCGGTGCTATCAGTAAAAAACTGTACCATTTAGAGTAAATTGTGCCCCTTATGTCCACACAAAGTTGATAAAACCATTTCTGGCGTACTTTACGGAAAAACAAATCTTTCTGACTGTATTACCTTCTGTTCGGTTATACTGAGTAATACCAGGGCATCAGTAAACAACCCCTTTTTTTAATCAATTATAAAAACAGCTGCTTGATCTCTAGTCAAAATTGGGCACTTTTAGGCCCAGTATTCAACTGTGACTGAAAGAAAGTATCTTTACTTTAGCGGGCGAGGTAGACATTACTAAGCCTAGTAACGGCAATAATGGACAGCAACCATGACAGTCCGAAACCTTGCGGTAAACATCAGGACCTTGTTGTCAGCTTGTCTTTCATTTCGTTACATCCGATTATACACTAACGAGTGAAATTTTTTGCCCTGTAAAATTTTCAATGAAATTTTTACGCTACTATGCCATTAACATAACACAACTTTAGGTTTACCTTAGCTGGTGCTCAAAGGAACTGGCAGAAGCGGTCAGAGGTATTCTAAAAAAAAACAAGGATATGCATATGTAGTATGAAAGACTCACAAGGAAATCTAATAACATCTGAACAAGAAATTCGCCAATTAGTTGCACTCAACTCCTCTACCTGTGTCTCTCAGAAAATGGAGTCAGACTTTGGCGAGAACTTATCATTTCCCTGTACCATTTCATCTTACAGAGAAAATTCTATTTCTACTGGACCAACCACCTTAAACGAGGTACAAAATATTTTAAACCAAATTCGAAACAAAAGGTCTACTGGCTTTGATAATATTACTTCACATCTTTTAAATGAAATTCTTAGTTGTATTGGTGATACTTTGGTATTTTAATTTAATAAATCTGTTGAGGGTGGTTGTTTTCCTAAAATCTTAAATCTTGCGGTGATTAGACATATATTTAAAAATGGTGAACATGATAACGTTGATAACTATCATCAAATTTCATTATTGAGCAATATATCCAACCCACTATAACAAATCACGTATCACAGATTATGCGATTTTGCTGAAAAATCTCATATCCTGTATATATGCCAACATGGAGCTGAGAAATCCATCGAAACTGCAAGCTGTCAGTTGCTTGACTTGATGAAGGTGAATATGTAGTATCTTTACTTTTAGATCCATCTAAGGCAGTCGACGCTATAGACAGCAACATACTTTAGCAAAAATTATATACTGTGGGTGTTAGAGGCTTCTTCCTGAATTGAGTTATCTCTTACATGCAGGCCAGAAATCTGAAAGCTAAAGTTGGAAGTACAACATCTAATCTATATCCTGCTGAACATGGTGGACCTCAGGGATCTGTACTGGGACCATTGCTGTTCAATTTATACGTCAGTGATTTGCCCATTCATATCTCAGAGTGATATATAACCATGTTTGCAGATGATAGCAAATCTGTAAAAAATGTCAAATCACCTTCACTCCAAAATTTTAATTGTATTCGATGAATTCTCTGCTTGGGGTCAAAGAAATCGGTTAATCTTAAATCCAACGTAAAGCTGACTTAGACTTGAATATGTATGGTATTATTTTATCGGATTCTTGTAAATTACTTGTACACATTTTGATTGTAAACTAAATTTTCATGAACGTATGTAAAAATTTAAGTATAACATATTTTGCCATTTTACAACTTAAAGATGTTCTAAATGAAAAAGCTGTTATCAATGTATATTATCGGCTTGCTTATAGCCATATGTCTTATAACATGATGATATGAAGGAAATCTTCCGAAATTAATAGAGTATTTGTTGCCCAAAAAAGAATCATTACGTTATATTACACTGTATTTACATTTTGAAATGTGTAACTTACGATAAGAAGTTTAATAACCTGTTCCCAAATATTAATGCTCATCATAGAAATCAAAATTTAAAGATCATCCATACACATACCACGACACATTTTAAAAAATCACCCTATTATAACTGCGTCAAATTATACAATAAATTACTAGCTGAAATACAGCAAATTAGTAATAATTTTCGACTTAAAAGAATATTGGCATCAAATGCATTTTATAAGTGATTTATATGGAATGTACAACCTTGACTACCTACTTAAAGATGGAATTGAACATTTATATGAATTGATATATTTATATTGATTTTACTTATATTTTTATACATTTTATTTATATTACTCGTATATACTCGTAGCTTATTTTTTTTTTCATCACATGTACTATTCTGTATCTAAGTGGTTAGTAAAGATAAAGACAAAGTAAAGATCTGACCTTGACATTTTTCAAAGATACCTTACTTCGAAAAATACAGACACCTTCCGTTGCTTTTGTTATACCCGGTATGTAGTGATCGTGATGTGCGTATCATATGTCACATAACATCCAAGAGATCTAATATCCTTATTTCGCGATTACAATACTACTTTTTCCTTTTGCATTATTTGTTATTCCTATATTGTATCTCATTTAACGGATGTATTTTATTTTTCCTACTTCCAATTGGTTATATGATGCCGACAGAGATAAATAAATAAGGAGTTAATAGCGTCCATCTAATTAGGGTCCAGCAAGAATTCCTCCTGTGGTGGGTGTATGGCAGTCGGCGGATAGCTCTAACGAAGGCACGAAAGGATAACTGCACCGCAGGGAAATCTCCGCGGACACCGCAACGTGGCCGAAACACCGAGTGGCGAGCGTCACACCTGAAGGCTGATACGATGCCGACGTGTTGCAGGTTGCACACTACGAGCGTTGAACTACACATTATTTCGGAAACAGGAAATGAATGGCACATGCCGATACGTGCATTGTAACTGCTATTTTGACGCGATTCCTTTTTTGAGTGATTTGAATAGATTGATTTCGATATTTTCTGCCCATTTTTAAAAAAAACAACTTTTTTTATTTTTTTTTTATATCCAAACAGCCGCGCAGGCAGAAGCCTAAATGCCGGAACACCGCGGCTGCTATGATGATCCCAAAGAAATTTTGTTAATACGATTTTTGAACTGCCTTAGGTTAGTAGAACTGGGAAAAGCTTCCTCCCGTAGATTGTTCCACAATCTAGACACCCTCGGGACGAAGGAGCGGTCGTATCGGCCAGTTCTGGATGTACGAAGTTTGACACGGTTAGGATGGGACGCCGAAGTCAGGTGGGTCTGTCTGTAAGGCACATCGCGCGGCGGCATCATGGATGAGAGCACAGAGGAGCAAAGCCCGTTGGTGTAGCGATAGAAAAGAGCTAGATCGCCGACGACCCGCCGGTGCGAAAGAGTCCCGAGACTGTCTGTTAGAGAAGAGTCATCGATCAGTTGGACCGCCCTCCTCTGGACAGCATCGAGCATGGACAATGTAGTCGGGGCGGCAGCACCCCAAATGTGTGAGCAATACTCGAGGCTAGGCCTTATCTGGGCCTTGTATAGAGTGAGAAGGTCATGCGGAGAAAAGTACTTCTTAGCCCTAAACAAATAGCCTAGCTTTTTCCCAGCAGCTGCAGCTGTTGAAGAGATGTGTTCGTGCCAGATCAGGTCCTCGGTGATCTGGACTCCGACCAGTCGAAATGAATGGCTCTTTGGTAGAGCTCGGCCGTCCATCGAAACTGTATGAGCGCTAGGACGCTTTTTGTTCGTCAAAGTACAGTACTGTGTTTTGGAAGCATTGAACTGTACAAGATTGTTGCGTCCCCAAGCAGTGACAGCCTCCAGGTCTCTTGTCAGAGAAGAAGTCGTCGCTAGTCTTCTTTTTTCCAGCTCAGCGGCAGAGATCGGCTTGTCACTCTGAATTCCTGCATGTAGAGTGCTGTCATCAGCGAAGCTGTGGATTGGGTTGATCGTGCAGGAAAGGAGGTCGTTGATATGTAAGAGAAACAGTGTTGGAGCCAAGACCGATCCCTGGGGAACACCCGCGTTGACCTTGTGGGATGAAGAGGAAAATCCGTCAATTACGACGGATATCTTGCGGCCAGAGATAAAGTCAGCCACCCATCTGCAAAGCTTTACTGGGAGGCCATAGGATGGAAGTTTGCTTAAGAGGGCAGCGTGCCACAGCTGATCGAACGCTTTCGTGATGTGAAGAGCAACGACATGAGCCTCACCATGAGACTGGATGAGTTTACGTGGAAATATGAAAAAATACAGTTTACATATAGTTGTAACTGCATACGTCTGCAAAATAATGATCGTTACTGTTTTACTGAATTTAGTGCCGGCGTTGTAAAGTATCGTACAAGCATATCGAATTTCGTAGATCACACTAAAACATGGTTTTTCTTTACAATATCATTACAGGAAAAGATATTACTCGTGGCACAGCTTAAGTACTTTACAATGACGTTACTCGTGATATACCGCAGGAAAGCAGTTACAATGCTCTTACGCGGAAATTTCAGTAAGCTCATGTATGTGTGGCGTCAATTACAATTTTCGTGGGTTAAAATATGCATGGTCGTCCTCTTCTCATGATCATTTCGCAGTAAAGCTGTATAATAACCGGAAAGCGAAGTTATGTCTAGACAGACAAGGTCCCAGAGATGTACGAACCTTTATCATAAAAAAGGTAAAATTATTAAGTTGGACTTGGCGGCGTGATCCAGAAGGCTGAATAGGACCGTTTGTTTTATTCATTTATATTTATACAGGGTGTTCCTTAATGATATGCGAATATTAAAGGGAGTGAGTGTACATGAAAAATTAATGTTAGTTTGCTTCATAAACTATGGTCTAAAAATGTTTCCTTACAAAAACTCGAAGTTTTAGGAAAAATACTAAAATACTAAAAATTCTGGTAAGTAACTTTACAGTGTTCTTCGAAGTAAAATGTACCCATAACAGTAATCTTATTTGCAATTACGATTTGCAAAAACTGCTGACGTACCAAAGAAGAACGTTGTACCATATCTTAGCATGATTATACAGAAAACAGTAAATTTTGCTTACATAGTAATTACATATTTTTTTGCTTTTTTCAATGATTTTTCAAATATGTAGAATATTGTAATTTTCAATGCATAACCTCACATTATGTATTAGCAGCTATTGGGCTTACTGTTTTTCTCCACCATCTAGCCTCTTTACTCTGTACAGAGTCCAAATACTGCACTGTCCATAGACTTGACAGGATTTTAATTGTTTTTTATGAACCAAGGAATGTTGCTCACATTGTAGCTCTAGCTCTTAAACCATTAGTGCCTGCGGTGAAGTTGCGATATCACTGAAGTACAATTTCTGTTCTATGCCAACAGTATTCGGCAAAACGAGCACATTACTTTTATGATGCTCTTCGTTCGTTATAGCTACGTAACGCGGCCGAAATATATCATTGTTATTGTCAGAGTATTCCTAGGCAATTTTAGGAACTTATTTTCACTTCCGCTATAATACAGGCGAAGTCACTTCCGTCTCTGGATCCCCTTTAAAATATTTATGGTAATTCCGCGCAGGGAATTCCACTAGCTGAGAAAATCAGATTTCATAGTTTATTCGTACGAGCAACGTTCCTGACTCATTTTACCGGGTTCTCTTGCTTTCCTGCCCGCCTAGGTTTCTATTTAAATGCAACTTCAATAACTTATTTCATCCATACATTATTGAGTTACAAATTTGATTTTTACTTCGTACGCCACTGGCGAGGAAGCATTGTAATCGCGAAAAATTTCGAAAATGAGATGTCACTCGTTTCCGTCGGTCTGTAATGCCTGTATGTCTGTCAGTGTGCTAATCCTTGACCACGTTATAGCTTGGAAAGTACCGATGAAATTTTCACACAAGGTTACCACTATGCCAAGGACTAAAAGGCATGTGTTTTAATATCGATCACGTAGCGGCGGAACTATGGACAAAAAAGTATAAAATTAAAAATTTCCGTTCATTTAGCTTAAAACCTAGAATGGTGGAGTGATATGTTTGACCCTCAGGTGTCGCTGATACGGTCCGGCTGATCCATGTGAGTAGCAGTCGGTCGTCGTTGCTCGCTTGCTGTATAATGTGGACCCTCGATCGCGTTCCACGCGGGATGTACTCATGATCTCGATCATAAGCGCCCGCAATAATTTTTCTCAGGGGAAGGAGGAGGCCCATCTATCTGCAAAAGCTAAATTTGCGTATTTGTGTCTAAAACTTTTTGTTGAGAGAGTCGTAGCATAGTTTTTCTGAGAAGATCCTTTATGAACTGATGCCAGAGTTGCGATGGAAATGCAGAGTCAACCTACTTGACGACATATTTTTATATTTGTAGTATCATAGTCCGACGCTTGAATATAAAATACTTTTCCCCGAGTGACTCGTACCTATCCAAGGCATTTCACGAGATACTGTTTTTATGACTCTGAATAGGTATTAAGCTGGTGATTTATGTTGCGCCCTCAACCAAACTGCGTGGTAGTTTCAGATAAAAATTTCAGATAGCTTTAATTATATCGGTTTCGTGCTAATTCTTCTCTTTTTCTGATTTTAATGATTCCACAGCGTTCTTGTTCGGCGTTAATTATTGTAGAAAAATGGATGCGAAGTTAGCGTTTTTAGGTATAGTATTTTATGTGCCCCTTTATGTGCACCATTTTTTATTTTATATATTAAAAAGGTGACTCAAAAAAGTGATTGAATTTCTGAGGTAGAAAAAAACATTGAAAGATACGAGATATCCCTATAAACATCCTGAAATGTTCTTCGCTAAGATATAGGATTGCTCTAGCGAAAAATATAATATCGACTATCGAAGTTTTTGCGTAATATTTTGTTGATCAATTTCAGCAGGGTCTCTCGTAGTTGTTAACAGAAACATACGAACGTCTTTGTGTAACTCGAGGAGCACCTGACTTATAGCCTACTTGATCTCTGGACCTGTACCCTCTGGGGTCATGTGGAGTTACTATAATTATTTGTTCACAAAATTTTAGTTTCTGTAGAGTAAGAAGCTTCATAGCGTATAGCGTATTTTTTTTAATAAAAACTCACTCTTTCAAGGACTTTGTTCGCTTTTTACCTTCAAAGCGGGCAGTTCTTTGAAGATCGTCTAATGACAAAAGATACCTTGAATATTCCAATCATTCAACGAACTTTTTCTAATGTTTTATGTTTTGCAAGTACCCGGAGTCACTTACGACACCAAAATTTAGCAAATTTCCGGAGTGAATGAAGTGAATATATTTGCCTTTTTAAACTGTAGGATTCCACCCCAAATGTTGATATCGAAATTTTTTAAATATCTAAGATGGCGGCGTCTATCAATCACGTGAGATGTTCAGGAGGGGGTTCGATACTCAATCTCACTTGACCTCACCTGCCAAAGACTGGGGTGGTGTCAACAATCAATCCCGTATTTTGTTCGGCAAGAAATATTATAAGACTGAAAAATGGGTGAACGTAACGTAAAACATGTGTCTTGTTTAAAATTTAGCAAAATCTGACGCAATTACGAGTATTAATGTTTTCTGTGTTATTCGAACGCCGCAATGTCGAAACACTTGACATAAAACTAAGCTAGTATAAATCCAACACACTTGAAATGATTGAAGGAAATAATTTTTTGAAATGACCTCGAAGGTGATAGACAGGATAATGGGAAATTACTACTTCAACGTACAATTTTTGACATTTTACACTTCCGGTATGAAAAATAGGATTTTTCCATTTAAGGAAACTATCTGCATCCTCAAATGACCTTATAGGTCAAGGTTAAGGTCACGTGCAAAGTCACCGTTAGATGCCCATTTTCAAACGTTACAAGTATGTTCTTCAATATTTTAATCTAGGAAACGTATCGTTCTAGATATTTTGATGTATACATACTTTTTGAACACCCTGAATATTCTGCCCAACTTCCATAGAAAATGAAGTTAATCTATCGGAGTAGCTGTTAGCGTGAATGAACTACATCAAGGTAATGGAGGTACACGTCTAAATGAGCAT